ACAAAATCATACCTTTGGGTTATGACAGTTATAAGGTACCAGCATATTTAATCAGAAGGCTGTAATGGCTGGTGAGCTGGTGCTTAATGCTCTTTCTGTTACTTTAAAAATGAAATTTGTTGGGTCTTTTAAATCGGACCCAAAAAGTTAGTGATGCATTTCCCAATGAAACAATAAATCCAATAAAACATTAAATTCCCAACTCTTTCTGTACAAAAGCAAAGAGTTGTTAGGCATTGACCACAAACCAAAGCTATTCTTCCACCTGGGCTCAAGAGGAAGAGGGGTTACTGGTTTTGGGATCTCTTGGTAAGAAAAGCCCCTTGTGTGGAATTAAAACCAAAATTATTTATTGTTTGACTTCATAGTCAGTGGTGTCTACAAATCTGAGGTGCATGGTCATTGGACTGTAATAAAAGCACCCATTCCAGTTGGGTACAAATAACCAGGAAATAAAGCCTTGCTAACGGAGCGCTTGGAAATGCTCTTAATTTTTGGTTTACCACTGAAGAGATGCTTCACAATGAAAACTGTTCAAACAAGATAGTGCTCTAGGGTCAGTTCATATATTCTGTAAGGAAAGCTCATACAGAAGACATGTGAACAATTTCCTTTGTTTAATGCTAAGGGCTGTGTGGGATCTTGGAATGAAATGGAGGCTTGGTTCAGAACATGAATAAAAACATGACCCTTTTGGGAACCAGAGGTTAATCTAGGAAAACAGCACACAGGAGAGATGTTATAACTAGTCAGAAGTTCCATAGAAAACCTAGAGGCAATAATTCCCAAAGAGCAAAGGCATAGCCAAAGGAGGATAAACTGCATTTTTTCCAGATTTTTTTTTCTCCTGCTTGGAATCCAGGCCTTAAATCAAGTCTTCATATACTCTGCAGCAAGCTGAAGGTAAGTCTTGTAACAAGTTCCCCTGGGTTTTCAGGCCCTTTGGGAAACAGGATATTCTATGACAGCTTTAGGGTTTTTTTATTAAATTAAATGGGGATATGAGAATTTTTGCCATGGCAGTAGACTTGGTGGCCTTTAATTTAATTACTAAAATCAACTTGTTATATTTGCCCAATAATTTCTTCTTATGATGTGCTCATATTTGTATGTCCACACAAAGCTGTGTGTATCCCAGAGATGATGCTGGATTCTTCTGGCAAATGAACATGTTCTTTTCTAAATTTGGTTCTTTTTAATATTACTATCTGAGAAAGCATTGGAGGTGGTTTGGGATGGAAGCACAAGTACCTTAGCTGGCATTATTGTAATAGTAAAATAATGTTGGCTTTGTAATCTTTATTAGGGTTCAGAAATAATACCAATTGAATGGGGATAATTCAGAATAGTCTTGGAGCTGATCTTTCACATTCTGGATAATATTGAATTATTATGCTTTCTTCATATTTGGGAAAGGCTTTTTTTGGGAAGCGTGTGGTTATAATGTTTTGTTGTTGTGTTTCCCCCCCCCCCCCCAAATGAAAGTGTAGCTTTTTACAGAACAGTTTTGCAAGGTGTGTAACTATTGGATCGGGAAATACTTCTAACTACACCATGATATTATTTGTGTTTGTCCCCCTTAGAGAACGTAGAATATATTTATGTAAATAGATGACTGCAGTGGTGTTAATACAGTTTCTGATGTGCTCTGCCCTTGCTGTCCCTGGGATACATGATTGTGTGCAGTACCCACCCACCTACTTCTTGTATACACAAACTTGAACTTGTATTTAATGGGGATAACTTTGAGACCTTGGCCCAGAGGTTGTTTGAGAACAACCATGAGGAATGTCCCCAAGGCTAGGGACAGAAGTTGCACTTAAACTGGTTTAAGTGATCAGAAACTGGTTTAAACCTATAATAAGATAGGAGTTCAGTGCACATAAACCAGTTTCAAAGGCTGAAGATGGACATTCAAAATGTCTGAGCCTGAATTGATTCAATTTTCTCAGGTTGGTCTAAACTGCATAGATTGAACCAGTCTAGCTGGATAGACATTGACTTTTGATTCAGAAAATGCAATGCCTGCAGTGACTCAGGCCAGGAGCCAGGGGGTGCTAAAGCAAGTTCTCCTTTCCCTTTTGCAGTGCTGAGCTGAGGGTAGGAGGGTGTAGTCATGCCCCAGCAGGATGCTATTATTAGGGAGGGGTTCAAACCTTCACCCCCTGATCTGCACAGTCCCTAGCTGGAGTGTCTGGAGGGGAAGGGGGAAGCAGCCATTGTCAGGCTTTTCCCCCACTTGAAGCTCAAGGGGTGGGGTGTGTTGCCAGACCCCAGCCCTGGCTAGTACTCTGAGGGAAGAGCTGCTTGTGTGGACTGCATGTATGTGTATTATTTATCCTACTAGCTAGTGCTTCATATTTGCCTACATCTCAAACTGACAGGTCCCATTCATTGCAAAGCAGGTCATTTCTCACACCTCCCTCTGTCCCTTATTGAAATGCCAGATTGTGGGACAGGGAAGCTGCACTCTAACTAGGCTCAGCAATGGATGAATAGAAGCAATCACCAGCATTAATTGCTGCATAGTGAAACTTCATTTAATATAAGACTTTCAGGGCAGGAGATGCCTCTGACTTTGAAGCACACCAGCAGCCTGCAAGATTATCAGAACACAAAGCTTATCAGCCCATCAAAAAAACAAAAGCCTTTCTCTCATCAGTTCAAGCTCTTCTTACCAAAGGGTACAGACATTCTGCAAGGCATTTGCAAGCCACTGGCTTCTTGAAGCTCAGGAAGAAAGGAGGGAGGGTGGCTGTCTGACAGACCTTACCAGCTGACCTGATGATTAGTTCCAGAATGCCCTAAGTGGACACTGTCCTGTCTGCTTTTGTTCCGGTGAAATTGGAGGCACACACACATATAGATATCTCTCGGTATTAGCTAGCATGGGGGTGGCATGGCCAGGTGCCGGCTGTAATCCATGCTGCTGGGGTCCCTGCTGTGGGAGAGGGGAGGGAGTGGGGGGATCCCTGCTTGAGCATCAGGGGGTGGGGGGTGCAGGTGAAAGCCTGGCAGATGCTGCTGTGCCTCTGCCAGGCAGACCCTGGCTGCAGTCCCCCACTCCCTTCTCAGCCAGCCAGAGCTCTGATTAGGGAGGAGAGGGTAGGACCAGCCCTGCTGTCTGGAGCAAACAGCCCAGCCCAGGGCTGAAAGCATGCTAGTGTGAGGTTTGACCTAGAAACCACTATACAAAGCCCAAGCAAAAGTCTCTGTTATGTAACTAATGCCCATCTGCAATGATAAGGAGGAGACAGTCTTAGATAAAGGAGGCTTGAAAACAAAAGCAGAATCAGAGGACTAGGGCAAAGAGCTAATTAAAATACTAAAAATCACACCCCTAGGTGGGGAGAAAGTATGCTAATGAAACATACATGTATGTAAATGAGATACACAGGTATAGAGACATGCTCAATAAAGAACTCCTTGCGTCACTCCCTTATAACCAATTAGCAAACAAGAAAGCTTATGAAGGTCCAATACTCCTGTATAAAAGATGCTTAGAATTAAGAATCTGTGTGCTTGTTATGTGAAATTATTCTGCTTGCACCTTTTATTGCTAGCAATAAATCTTCTTTATACTTTCACCCCTGGTATCTTTATTGGCCTTTGCATACCGGGCACGATCCCAGACTTGAGCTGGGGCTCAACACTAGGATACTGGGACACTCTGCTTTAACTTAAACTAGGAAAGGGGTCTGGGACAGAAGTTCTAAAAACTGGTTTGACCCAAATCAGTTAAATCTGATACTACATTCAACCAGACTTATCTTTAAACCAGCTTTAGCCATTTTGGAGCTTTTTTATGTGCACTGAACTTTTGTTCTGTTACAGGTTTAAATGAGTTTCTGATCACTTAAATTGGTTTGTGTGTAACTTCTGCTCTAGTCGAAATGGCTTAAAGTGGTTTAAGATAGACTTGGTTGAATGTAGTATCAGACTTAACTGATTTAGGTCAAACCGATGTATGAACCTTCTGTCCCAGACTTCTTCCTGGTTCAAATGAAATCACAGTCCCCCAGCATGCTTTTCAGTGCTGTTGTTTTACCTCCTCCATCTCCTGTGCCTTTACTGAAAATTTCCATTTCTTTTTTTTGACCTAGCTACCACTCACCTGTAGACGCTTGTCATGGGCCCCTTCAAACATAGTTAAAAATCATATATCCATTATGTGGGGTCAATATTACTATGATTTGTTTCCTCTTCTTTCTGCAATGGGGCCAATCAGTGCCCAGCAATCTTCCTTGACAGGCTTTGCAGACCAGTCCTATGTCTGAACAATGCAAGGCTGTCCAGTAAAAGCTGTCGTCCTTATTCCTTCAGGGTATTTCTGTCCCTGTCTGGACTTGTACCCTCAACCAAAAGACTACAGCCTGAGCTTCTGACTCTTTCACCCTTTCTCTCATGCTTCTCTGAATATAATAATATATTATGGTGTATTTCATTGTAAGAATAAAGCATCAATGACATTTCTAAATCAAAGAAAGGAACAGATGTTTGCTTTCTAAGGAAAAAACTCAATCATTTGGGAATAGGTAAACCAGGTTTTTGGGGTTTTTTTTCTTCATGTTTGGCTTGTTTGTAGTTTTTCATGTAACTCTATAATTATCCTTTCTATACTCTACTTCCACCAGTAGTTAAATTTACTTGCTGACAGCTGTTGAGCAAGAATATTATGACATGGGTATGGATTAGAAGTGTTACCTGCCACTTCTAGCAAAGTTCCTGCCTTATTTATATTGAGGGGACTAAAATGTCATGTTACCGGGTACCTTTAAATAAGTTTTTGAGAACTGTGGAAACTCATGCTATTGAATGTAAATGTAGCAGTTTTTTGAGAAAAAATCTCCATTATACAGCTATATTTTCAACAGTGCCAATGTCTAACTGCTAAATGTGCCAATACAGTAATAGTAATTATTCCTACATCTTTGTTCATTCAGGTTATTACAGCTTACTTTTGGGTCCACTAAATGGCTCTCAAGCATTGAAATAAGGAAACCCAATTCTGAACCAGTCAGAGATTTGCCTAAATGCCTGGAAAAACACAGCATGCATTCAATGTAAGACGGCTTTGCCATGCGGACTCTATCACGGATAAGAGACAAATGAGATTGTCCTAGAAAGTTGGTTTCTGCATTTCTAAGAAAATGATGTCCAATGTAAGTTGTGTATAATCAACAGCATGCTCAGGCAAAATGTAAACAGTACATGATTGGGAGACAGAGTGACGGGGCAGGAAAAAGTGGGGAATTGCCCTAAATGGGAAATTGCCCATATTTTTTTTATGCAAACCAGAGCAGTTGCGTACAAAACTATGCTACCCTTTTCTTTGTTTTTTGTTGGGGTTTTTTCTGCAGGAAGGGAGAGGATATTAATGATGAATATTTTTGCTTTGTAGAGAGGGTTATAAATCCATGTTGTGGGATGGAAAATTTAATTTGAAGGCAAGAATGGATGGCGGGAAAGTGGGGGACGGAGGACTGCAGAAGAGTTATAGTGCTAAATGGAAACCCAGAAAAAGAAATGGAAGGGAATATAGAGGGGGTCAGGGAAGAAAAATGTTCTAATGAAAAGTCCATGAAACATATATAGTGTGTATCACTTAACTGCATTTGTATTGGCCCATAGCCCATTTGTGCACATCCAGATTTTGCTTGCTTAGCAGCACAAAGCTGCTTGTTCTTCTATACACAATACGGGCTTCTTATGAAAATATAAAAATCAAGGCTTGTGAACTGTACACTAGCATTAGAAATCTAATTTAGATAATGGGTCAATGCAGAACCAGAACCTTTTGGTCACCTTGCCTACCTGCTAATACTTTATCCAAAAATGCCCAGACTTTTCGAACAGATATCAGCGCCCAATCCTGAAGTTGAATATGAATTTTACATTTGGGCTGTTTTTGAAGATCAGCCCACAAAATCAAACCTTTTCTGAGATATGTATTAGTAGGAGTGTCTATACTAGAAACGGTGGAGATTAAATTAAGAAATTCACTCGCTATATAGAAATATTTCCTGGCTACTTGAGGAGACTGAATGCACTCTGTGCTTGGATATGAAAAATCACTGATTGTACGAAGCTTATGTAACTGATTTCTCTTGGCAAATACTGTGCTCTCGGCATAGATGGAACACAGATTGTCTTTTATTTCAGAAAGACCTTACTTAGCAGCATTTCAGTCCTATTACATTTTTCTGCCTTCTTCCCAGGGGAATCTTGGGCTCACGTTCGGACCTGGTTTCAATAGGAATTGAAACCATGTATTTAATTTGGGATTTGGCCCCTCCTATGGAGTATTACTTTATTTCCATTTTCTTTCTTAACTTCTCATAACAATAAGTAATTTACCATTAACAGACTATATAAGTCTCCAAACAGAATCCAGCATGGGTTACTGCATTGGTTTTCCAACTTTTTAAACACAATGAACCCCCTGGAAAAGAAAAATGTCAACTCTTAGCTTTCACATGTTTCTTGACTACAGAAAAATAAGAGGGCAATTCTTATGCTGTAAGTAAGTCGGAAACATTATAACGGGTCAAAATGTTCTTGACACTATGTATTCCTCTTTAAAATATCTAGGTTGGTCTTGTGAATGATGTGTAGGTGTTTGTACTCCTAACAGTGCAAATATATTGAGCAGCACACAACAATAACACTAAAAAGATTTCATGGCACCTTAGGTATTTGATGAAGTGAACTTGGGTTCAGGGAAGCTTGTACACATGCGCTCTCTTTTACTCTCACTCTCTGTCCTGCATGCTGTCTCTCTATATCTATTTAGTTAGTCTATAAAGGTGCATAAACTGTGTACCTACCCTACCCTGGTTGAGAATCACTGGTTTAGTGAATAGGGCACTGGCATAAGATTGATAGATATTGGTTTTATCCTTAGCTCTGTCACTACCTTACGCAGTGACTTTGGGCAAGTCATGTCTTTGTACCTCAGCTTCACTTTATGAGAGTGACTTCTTTTTATAAAGTACATTGATGAAAAGCACCATATAGGATTTAGGTATTCCTAGTCTCATGCAAATTACTGCTTAGATTTTCAAGGACATCACAGGAAAGAGTAGCTATAGAATAAAGTATCTTTTGCCAGCAACATCTTTGTGGGCCCATCTAGGATTCCAGGCTGGCTGCAAGATATAAAACATTTAAACTTTTTCTTTAGGCAAAAAGGAAGAGTTTTTTAATAACCAGATGCAGTAACTGTAAAATATTGTTGAAGTTGAAAATGCAAAGCATGCTACAAGTAGCCTGGCTTTAGTAAACTTTGATTAATCATACTGATAAATTGGAATGGATCTGTCCTTTATCCATATACAAGATGGAAGCCTAATCCTTTTACCATATGGTTTGGAAATATTCTTACCCATACAGCCTCAGATGCTGGTCCAAGTGATCAGTTCTGTTGCAGAACAGATATTATCCCCTGTGGCCTATTAATTAGGCAGAACAATTTAGAGGATAGAGAGATAATAGAATTGTTATTAAAATGAAAGTCTTGAATATTGCCCAAGTAATAGCAGAGACAGGAGAGCTGGAATGGATAAATATTGTCTTTTGAAGGAATGGGGAATGGGATCTAGTAACCTGCAAAACCATTAGAAAGAATCTTATTCGCTATTGAGAATACAGATGGGAACAATTTTCCACAGTTTGGCAAACAGTCATTAATTATAGCGAAGAGACAGGAAATATAGAATAGACTTTAGCTTTATGTGGCTTCTGCTGTGGTAAGTTAAGAATAAGCTATCTGAATAACACTGAACTTAATGAAATATGGGAAAAGAAATAGCTTGTATGGAGTACATTTTACAGCACAATATGTTGTGGCCAGTATTGACTTACAGAATGGACATATAAAAGCATTAAACAATTTTAATGGCACGAGTAAAATTATTGTCAAGCAGATGGATCCCACACACAGGCCGTTACATGCAGTTGCCTACTATGCATTTACTAATGTTTCTATTATATAACAGTTTTATAGCCAGCAGTTATCACACTCCCATAGCCTCTGATATTTTCTCTCTCTAGCCAGTGAGTAATCTTTGTCATGTATCGAATTTGTCATGTATCAAATTTCCTGCGACAATGACATTTAGTCTACCTTATGCCAAAGTGCTTTTTCATTTGCTTACTGCATAAAAATGGGCTTGAACCATAACCCGGTATCCCAAACCCATGAAATGTGGATCTAAACGTTATGATTTTAGTTGCTACAAATATGTCTGTGTGTTAGAATCTGTAGTAGGACACCGCATGGAGTAAAAACATGTTGGACCCTGCCTTGTTCACCTTGCCCCTCAGCATCCACTTTTGCTGTTGTGAGAGACAGGATACTAGGCTAGGTGAATCTATGGTCTAATCCAGGGGTGCCAAGCTGATCTGTCCCTGTGGCCTGGATGAATGGTGTGGGGCTGGTCTGTGGGCCGTGCCCACTCTAACACATGTCCACTCTATGCCAGATCCAGTATGCTCCCCAAAACAGCCCAAGCAGGTGCTGTATGCAGCACAGCCCTGGAGTGGACTTCATATGGCGGCAGGGCCTGGGACTGTGCTGCACATGTTGCATACTCCTGGAGTGGCCAGAGTGGGTACCAAGTCTGCTCCAGAGCATGTCTGTTCCATGCCAGATCTAATGCATGCCCTTGAGCGGGTGTCATGTGTAGCATGTGTCCTGAAAGATCCACTCAAGGAACTGCACTGCATGCAGCACCCGCTCCAGCCACTTGGTGCATTCTCTGACTGCTCTGGGATGCATGCTGGACCTGGCATAGAGTGGACGCATGCTGGAGTGGGTATCATTGACACCTTTAGTCCAACTCAGTAAATGGCAGTTCTTATTTTCTTATTATGTATATTTTCATTTAAAATATAGCATAGTAATATATTGCAGAAATAGCAACTTGTGTAATTTCCTAGAGAAGTAACTGGTTTCAAGTTTCATGTTACATTAATAGTTTCTAATGATGAACTACAAATGTGTAAAAATAAATAAATAAATAAATAAAAATAAAATAAAATAAAAAATAAAAAACAACAACAACAAAAAGCTGGTATGCCAGAAAAAAATACAGTTTTTGTTTTTTAGTAAATTATTCGGGTATATATTTGCTAAAAACTCTGGTCATTGGAATAGTTCTGACTTCAGCGGACTACCCATGACAGCGAAGTTAACCAGGTGTATAAATATTTGCAGAGTCAGGGCTTTACATAATGATGTTAAAAAACAAGGTAAAGAAACCACAGAGCAGAAGACAGCACTAGATAAATGTCCATACCACACACACGTTGGCTGCATTCACCAAAGCATTCCACACTTGACAAGGCTTTTCTATGGAGCTGACTTAGCACACATGTGGAATTTCCAACGTTGGAGTAATTAAAACATTTTAAATGTTGCTTATAATCACTTCAGCTTGTGCAAAATTGGGAACTTTATCAATATAAATCATTAGTGAATAACTCCAGCCATCATGGACAGATTTATATTCAGTACTTGCTACTTAAAGTGTATGCAGATTTTATATTAGTGCTTTCAGTGATCAGTAAATAGTAATTTCTGTGGTAACCCTTCAATTAAGTGCCATGTGTTGCATCTTAATGAAATGAATCTCATAATGGCTGTTTCTAAATATCTGTGCTAGTCCTGGTCATAAAAAATAAAGTAAGAAAAGATTGCTGGGTGTAAACACACTTTATAATGTGTCCTTATTGATGATTTTATTAGAAGGGTGCCTAGATTATCCAAAGGAAATAAAGGTCTCTTTTGCATTGAGCAATGCACAGATACACAGTCTGAGTCAATCTGTGTTTTAAAGATCCTAAGGCAGGGGTAGGCAACATTTTTGGTCAGTGCGCCAAAAACCCCACAATGTCTATCTTGTAAGGTGCCAGAGTGCCGGCACTCCAAAAAAACAAAAACTGGGGTGGGGGGTAGATGGCAGGATGCACTGCATATTAATATAGTTAATAATTATAAATGTTGCTTTTTATTTGTTTTGGCAAATACCAGCTTTTGTAAAAATGTTAAACCTGGTGACAGTAAATAAAACTTCATATGCTACCATTGTTCTTCTGTATTCTTTTTTGTTAAGCATGTTGTGATGGGGGGGGGGCAGAGGAGAGAGAGAGGGGGAAAGAGAAAAATGAGAAAAAGAGGGGGGAGAGAGAGAAGAGAGAGGGAAAAAAAGGAAAAAGAGAAAGTGGGTGGCAAGGGACAGATCCTCATGTCCCAACATTACCAGCTGTGGCTCAGGCCTGCTGGTCCAGGGCTGTGTCTGGCGGAGGGAGGCAGCAACAGTCACCAGGGCCGGGACACTCCGCCCTCCCTGATGGTCCCAGAGTGGGGGGAGCCCGGGCCCAAGTTTGGGAGGGAAGGTCCATCCCACCCGGGTGGGGACATTACTGGGGCATCAAATGCTAGGGCTGGACACTCAGGGCAGGGTCCAGGTGGTATGGGAGAAGTAGGTGAGGGGGGAGGTGCTGCAGGCAGGCCAGCCTGGCAGGGTCCTTGAGAAGGCAGCAGGTAAAGGAAGGCAGGGGCTGGGTAGGAAGCAGGGCAGCCCTGGGGCTCTGCGGGTTCGGGCTACGGCGAGCGGTCAGAGGCACCCAGCAGCACCTGAGGTGGGGCTCGGTCTGGCCCCCACAGCTCTGCAGGGATGGGCTGCAGCCGCCCTGCCCATGAGGGGATGCTGGTGGATGGGGCAGGACCCCAGGCTCAGGGGCCTCCTGGCTCAGCCTCTCTGCATGCCAGGCACATCAGGGGTGGGGCAGAGCCTCCCCCAGTCCAAGGGTCTGGCAGCAGGAGCCCCTGGACTCCAGGAACAGCTTCTGCAGCTGGTCCGGCCTGCTGGGGCTCCAGCTTTGGCCACTTGCAGCTTCCCTCTAGGAGCCGGGGCCGGGGCAGGAGTGTGCAGGGCCACTGCGTTGCAGGATCCCAGGGGCTCGGTCCTGAGTGCCACATGCAGCGGCTCTTCCCAGGGCTTGTGGGGGGCTCCTGTGGCAAAGCCCTTGCACTGGGGGCAGCTCTGCCCTGCCCATGCTGTGTCCAGCACACAGAGAAGTGGAGCCAGGAACCCCCTGAGCCCAGCGCCCTGCCCTGGCCAGGTGACATCCCCTTGCAGGCATCCCCTGTGGAGCTGTACAGGCTGGACTCCACCATGGGTGCCACTGAGCACCCCACCCACCCTCTTGCCATGACCCAAGCCCGCCAAGCCCTGCGACAGCCCTCCTTCCTGCCCTACACCCACCCTTCTCTGGCTACCACCTTCCCAAGGGCTGGGCTGGGCTGCCCACAGCACCTCACCCCCATGCCAGCTTCTCCCTCTGCTGCCTGGACCCTGCTCTGAGTGCCCAGCCTCAGTGCTTGGTGCCCCATTGCTGCCCTTGCCTGGGTGAGACAGGGCATCTGTCTTCCTGAGCCCCGGCTGTACCCCGGGCTTGTCCACCTGCTGGGAGCCTCCAGCACAGTGGCCCTGAACAGTGTCTGCCCAGACCTGGCCCTGCCAACCCGCAGCTCCCCTCCAGGGGCTGGGCTGGTGGGGGCGCAGCCCAGGGACACGGGCTGGGGGCAGCAATACACAGACTGCATCCCTGCCTGTGTTCTCCTGACTCGGCACCCCAGTGCCTCCCATGGTGCTGGGACCTGTGGCTACTCCATAGAGTTGGAGCAGCAACTTAATTTTTTTTTGTTTTGTAAACAATTTCCTTGCATGCCTCCTGGCATGCTAGAGGAAATGTCTCTACGTGCCATTAATTGGCACGCTAACTGGGGTTGCCTATCCCTGTCCCAAGTTTATATGTTTAAAATTTTCTTTAGGGGCTTGGTTCAGACTTTAAAAATCCTGCTATCACCTCTTCACCTTGAAAAAATCTGGAGCCTAATGTCTAAATAGGTGAGGTTGATAATGGAGAAGAGGACAAATGGGCATAAAAGATACTATGATTCTGCCAAGGTCAGCAGCCAAACTAGGAAAAGGACCAAGAATACTTCCTCACCGAAGCCAGCATCAGTCTGTTACTCTACGCTGGTTACTCTATGCTTTGGTTCTTTTCTCAGCAGTGTTCAAACACAGATCTGCTTGTTCCACTTGTGTGGTAGCTGTAAATTCTGCCTAGGAATACCAATAAGATATTCTATAGCAGATATAGGGCAGATATAAATAATGACTGTCAGTGGAGACATGCTGCTGTCCGCCTGCCGAGGAATTAGGCTTACATGTTGTGCATTTCTATGGGGATATAGTGCACCTTTTAGATATAGTTGTTTAGCTTCATGCTTGTAAAGCTGTAGCTCAAATAAAACGCATAGTGGAAATGTGCCACTTAGTACTTAGTGTTTTGCTTCTTGAAATTATACTTGATGCCAATCCTGATTCTCTACTCTGTGGCACTTGGATGTACATTAGTTTGGCTCGATTGACTTGGATAGGTACCATGATGTAACTGAGTCCCTCTTTTGACTAAGTGCACAAGTCTGCACAAAGGGTGTTGCGCAGTTAAAGTATAAAATCATAGTAAAGCAGGGGTGCTCAATCTCTTAGAGCAGCAAGGCAGATGCTTGTGACCTGGCTACACTATGGGCCATTTCTCCCCTCTGGTTGAAGGAAGAGAGGGAAGGGAAGAAAAGGTGGAGTTTGGGAAGGGAGAGTTTATCTTTGGTAAGCAGTGTCAGAGGGGGAGGGAGACAGTAAGCTGGCTGGAGGGGATGGGAGATGCAGACAGCAGGGCATGCTGTGGAGGGAATCGGCGGCACAGTGGAAGGCAAGGGCAGCTGAGCTGCTTGCTACTGATCCCTCTGCTACAAACTGATTCCAAACTTTTGGAGGTGAGCTAGCTTGCAGGCTGGAACACGACAGCATTGTCAGGAGCGATGTGAGAAACAATATAACAAAAGCACAAACTGTGCTCCCAGTTAGGCAACATTGTTAATAGTCCCTTGTTCCAGTATAATGCACTGCCATTTTTAGCGCGGTGGTGCCCTGAAGTGAAGCATGAGAAGGGAAGGGTAGGATTTGGAGCATCCTTCACTGTTTGTATGTCTGGTCTTCTCCAAGCCTCATTCTGCATGCATGGTGAGTAAAGGGACACCGAAAGTACTCCAGCAATGCATTGGGAGATAATCCATGGAGTGTGTCTGCCTCTTCCCCTTGGGTGGTTGTGGCAACCTGCATTTATCACTAAATGTAGTAGAAATTAGGCTCAGCTAGCATGCTGCCCAAAGTGCTCACTCTGAGTATATCCTGAGGGTTATGCAAACAGGGCTTCTGTGCTATTAGCCTCTTTGCTATTTAAAGTGCTACTATGGTGTTTCAGAGCCTTCTTCCTCTTGTGCTCAGAGCATCAATCAAGTCTTTCTCTGCCTTCAGTTGAAATTCAGGCTGCATAGTTCACATTCTGAAGTGGACTCAGGTGTGGCTTGTGAGGGCTGTCATCCCTCTACTTCAGGGGCATTCAATTGTCTACTGTCTTTGAATAGGAGGCAGCTGTTACACCCACCAACCTCAGACTTCTCCCAGCATAATAATTTAAAATTTCATCATCAAAGTTTAGCAATCTGTGCAACAGAAGGTTGGAAAAAAAATCCACAGACTACACATTTTTAAATGCTTTTAAAATTGGTCTAACTGCTATTTAAAATACTATTTAAAATGGGTCTAATGGGTCTAATTGGAGACACATGAAGACCATGTAGGTGCAGGGAAGAACATTAGATCATTTCACGCTCACTTGTCTGTGATGCCTTCTAACTTACCAGATAATAGTATTGTGTGAGGTCAGTTGTGATGCATTTAAAAAGGGGATCTCCAATTAAGTTGCTGGCTGCATTTTTCTGAATACCTCTTCTTTGGACATGTCCTACTAAGTCCAGGGATGTACTGGTCAACTTCCTCTTTGCCTTGGCCAACTGCAAGACCAGGAAGTTGGTGCTAGCTTGAAGGAGGCTGGGCACCTGTGGAACTGTTTTCATTTCAATCCATGTATGCATGTTTCTGGGCAGAGTTTCACTGGGTGGGTAGTGTCCACAGTCTTCTTAGATAAGTTTGAAAGGTGGTAGGTGCTAGCTGGTGTCCTACGCTTGGTGCTCCCTGCCCCCTTAGGATTCTAGTTATTAACCTAAACCTATGCCCTGCACCCCCATTCCTGTTTTTCTTGTGATTTATCCCAAGAATTCAGTTGTTATATGTATAGTTAGCTACCTCTTTCTAATCGCTGTGGGGGACTTTTGGTTTCCTGGTAGGGCTGGATGCACAGCACCTACATACCAAATGGATTTGTCTCTGACAATGCCCGGATAAAATAACTGGCCATAAAGAAATATCTACCCTTGTTTGATATGTAATTGTCTGGGCTGTTGCCTGAGGTATGCTAACATTGAGGGGTATTTCTTTTCTTTTCTATAGGGGAACTTATGTTTCCACTATAAGACTGTGATTTGGATTGAAGCTGCAAGTGAGAACCTATTTAATGCAGAATAAATCACATTTCAGGGAAAAATACAGATGCAAGCCATAGCAAATGTGAGTTTTACAGAACAATTAATGTGATTTAAAATCTCTTAGCAGCTAACAACAGTCGAGAGACATGTAAGTCATGCTGCTAAATTTACTCTCTATGACAACTGGAGTTGCTGAAGCCCCTTCGTTTCTTTTGAGTATATTAACTATTTCAGGTATAAATTGAATTGTGTGTGTTGCAGAACTGTACTGAAGACCTTCTGCTGTCTGTCTTGATATAGAAAGGAGCAAGCAGATTGTGACCACATAGTTATTAGTTATGCTAATAGGCATGGATTTAACAAATAAACATCTGGTTTCAAAGTCCTTTTGAGAGACCATCTCCTTTTAACATTTTATTATTCTCTCTGGAATCCCCTGTAAATCGTGGTTCACTAGCTTAACAATCTGAGATGGACATGCAGCTGAACTAACAGCACCTACAAGTTAAAATATATATACACTGTTTGTAGGTTTTCCGGCAGCTGGTGGACCTCGGTGTTTTCACAATGGCAAAAGGGAGTAAAGATGACAGCACAGCACTGGTGGGCAGCGAAAGTATGCAACTAGTAGTGGCATATGTAGCCATGCCTATACAGAGTCTGGAACAAATGGTGCAGACTTGGCATTGGATGTATGCTGTCAAGTATGAAGGGTACAGGCATATGGGGAGCACTAAGTAGCTGCTGCTTAAGGGTATGTGGAACTGGTAGCAGATGTTTCTTCAGGATGGGTATTTGTTTAGGTCCAGTACATTTTTCCCTATGGGATGTCCTGCTGCTTTTACCTGTAAACATTGTATTAATAACCACCAAAACCTCTTTCAATACCTAATTTGAATGAGAATCATTCAAATCGCAATCCTGTCCCTGCTTTTGTAATTTTACTGGTTTTGTAATCTTACTCTACGGCAGTTCTCTTATTAAAGTAATCTGGAACTTAATAAAGGAACTGATGGGTTTCAGTGAAATTTAAGTTCTATATGTGCATAGACTTCTGAACCATCCCCAATGACTTGGTCCACGAAGATTCAGGTTAGAGGGTAAAGGGAATATGCTTTGAGATCAGTACGTGGAAGGTTAGAGAAGCATGAAGACCATGTTGGTACAGACAAAATAGTCCCTACTTAAAGTGTCCTTATTCAGGTCCTTATGACCTGTTGACTTTAATTCCATAGATTGTGCGCTTTTTTCAGGACTTCCAAATTTAAAATCTTACTTGTGTATTTTTTAATGGTACCTTTTTCTTCTTTCAAAACCAATGAACTGAGGAATTTGACTGTTGAGGCTTTTTTCTCTGTCACAACTTTGTTGTTGAGCAGAACTATATCCTCTCCATTTCTTTTCTCTTTTCATTATGTTTCTTTGGAGAAGATACTCTTTAGGAAGAGGTGTGTGAGGGAGGCAGAGCATGGCAGGCAACCGTGTGTGATTAATATTACTTGTTATGAGATAATATTAATCACACATGCTTAGCATACCACTGGGTATGATACTGCAGTCTATATCCACCAGAGAGTTGTGGTGGATGGGTCGGTTTCGACCTGGAAGGGTGTGGGAAGTGGGGTCCCACAGGGTTCGGTCCTTGGACCGATACTCTTTAATGTCTTCATCAGTGACTTGGACGAGGGAGTGAAATGTACTCTGTCCAAGTTTGCAGATGACACAAAGCTATGGGGAGAAGTGGACACACCGGAGGGCAGGGAACAGCTGCAAGCAGACCTGGACAGGTTGGACAAGTGGGCAGAAAACAACAGAATGCAGTTCAACAAGGAGAAATGCAAACTGCTGCACCTAGGGAGGAAAAATGTCCAGCACACCTACAGCCTAGGGAATGACCTGCTGGGTGGCACGGAAGTGGAAAGGGATCTTGGAGTCCTAGTGGACTCCAAGATGAACATGAGTCGGCAGTGTGACGAAGCCATCAAAAAAGCCAATGGCACTTTATCGTGCATCAGCAGATGCATGACGAATAGGTCCAAGGAGGTGATACTTCCCCTCTATCGGGCGCTGGTCAGACCGCAGTTGGAGTACTGCGTGCAATTCTGGGCACCGCACTTCAAGAGGGATGCGGATAACCTGGAGAGGGTCCAGAGAAGGGCCACTCGTAGGGTTAAGGGCCTACACACCAAGCCCTACGAGGAGAGACTAGAGAAACTGGATCTATTCAGCCTCCACAAGAGAAGGTTGAGAGGCGACCTTGTGGCTGCCTATAAGTTCATCACGGGGGCACAGAAGGGAATTGGTGAGTATTTATTCACCAAGGCACCCCCGGGTGTTACAAGAAATAATGGCCACAAGGTAGCAGAGAGCAGATTTAGATTGGACATTAGGAAGAACTTCTTCACAGTTAGAGTGGCCAACTGCTTATGCAGGGGGTCAGACTCGATGATCTATTGAGGTCCCTTCCGACCCTAACATCTATGAATCTATATTCAGGAATCACATCTTAGTAAAATCTATGCAACTATTTCCTAAGTAAACTCCCATTAATTGTTTTTACTATTTTCCCCCCAAACAGATTATGAATCCCTTACATATGCATGCATTTCCTTGTGGTCATAAAGCCAGGATGAAAATTTGCATGAGATACAAGGCCAATGGAGGGACTGGAGCAGACAAATGCTGTGATTAAGATGAAGCAGAAGATATGTCAAGGTATGTTTTAAGTAGGACTCTAATTCAGTTGTAGTTTGGCATATGTAAATAGGTAATTTATTGCAAAGGTAATAGTTAAGGCAGATGGCATAGCTAGAATTTTTAGACTTTAAACATATGCTTTAAGAGTCAAAAATATTTCCAGTGTTAGCAAATAATGCTTAATACCAATAACAAGATATTTATTCTTTGCATGTTTTTTGTATCATAATATTCATGGATTATACATAAATGTACATAGATGTACATACATGTTTTCCTGAATTCAGTTCAGCCGAAAGGCTTCCATTGACTGCAGTGGCTTAGCAGCAGGTTATGTACAAGATAATTGGCTTTTATCAAATCACCCAGACTGAGTGGGACATTTGGAACTGGGATTATATTTTGTGCCCATGTCTTTTTGGTTCATGCTGATGTCACAATATGCTGAATTTGCCTTCCCATGCAGTCTCTCAAATGCAATTCTCTTTGTTACTTCTGAGCATGAGTCTTTTCTGTTGCATTCTCCATTTAACTGGTGCTTGGCCAGATACTTTTGTTTCAGCAAGATTCACAGCACAATTTTCTTAAATCAAGTTTTCCTTGTGGCCTATATCTAAGCCCCTGGACACAAAGCTCTTCCCTTCCTTTTCCAGGGGCTGCCTACAAAGGAAATAGCTTTATCCCTCTAGGTTTTTCTACATAACTTTGTAGTTTAAACTGTAGTAGTATCCTAGTTCTGTCATAGATAGATTCGTAAGACTATCAATGTGTGTCAAACTGGGTAAAACTGAAGGAAGGAGAAAATACAGCTGAAGGGTTGTTAAAATGTAAATAATCAAAAGAAATGGCAAATCAACAGTGAAGATATTGTCCATCAGGATGCCTATTGAGCATAAAATAATCCTTTAAAAATATTTAAGAATTAAGTAATCTTTTTTCTCTAGATGACACAGTCCCTTAAATACCAGCTATATTGTAGACATTTTATATACGTTAGACTTTATTTTTGCCTTTTGTGAATATCCAAGCCTCTGCTATTATGGAGGAAACTAAAGCTAGCTACATACCAAGTTGGCTATTTAAAGATTAATGGACTTATGTCCAAATGAAAGGTTTGTGATCATGTCCATATATCTTTTTTACAGCTTTTTACAACTATTATAAACTTGCCAGTATTTAGCATAAATAAGGTGACCACTTTTAAAAGGAAAAAAGCAATGCACATGAAATGACAGAGGGTAAAACTAGAGGCAGAAAGATTTATAACCAAGAGAATAGAGTTGAGTTGCATGCTAACCTTTCATATACCTTTCTCGTTGGATTTTTTTTTTTTCACCAGGAATCAGTAGGAGAGCAACAGCTGGGGAGGTTCTTTATTTACAGCAGTAAATATAGTTGTGGTCCTTTTTTTTTTCTTTTTGGGCCAGCTCCTGTTCTTGCAGATGGAAGCTGTATGAAGGGTATATGGACTCTTTGCCTCAGTGCCATACTTATGCAGCACTAGTATTGGCACTCAAGACTGGTGGAGGAGATCAAGAAAGCCAGTTGCCAGTGCTTTCCAGCTGCAAAGTCATGGCATAGATCAGTCATCAAATAGATGACACGTGGTTTAAGTTGTAATAAGAGGCAAAGATGAGCTGCTACAAGGATCCAGTGCTTAGCCCTTTCCATCTTAACTTACAGTAATTAAACATTTTCAAGTGAGAAGTAAGGCCAGTAAAGGGACGGAAGCAATACATTGGTTCTTTTGTTGAGGGAATGGTTGTGATTGCTATATTTAGTTCCCTTTATATTGAGTGACTCCAGCAGGAAATACCAAGACTTGGCTTACAGAATTTTCCATCAACAAAAAATTGCAGTGTAATGCTAATTATACTACAGAATCAAATACACTGTAGGG